GAGTCCCTTCAAGCAGGTCAGGGACCGGGCATCGCAGCAGGCCACAAGCGCGTGTTGAAACGAGCGAGCGAGGGTAGCGGGCGTAGCGGGCAATGGGTTGAGGGGTGTTTTTGAGCGCAAAATGGCATGAGATGAAAGATGCGTAGACTGATCTTTGGTTTTTGTTTATTTGTTTTATGGAGTCGCTTTATGTTTGTTTTGGAACATGGGGATGAGGCAAGACCGGACTTGGACTTGGAGATGACTTGCTCGGCTATGAACCTCAGCACTGCTCAAACATACTGCAGCCACATGCAGGTTGACCATGGGTTATGACCCACAACTCCTCTACAGCCTTTTGCGGCGAAGCGATTTTTCCGTGTCTTGCCAGACGTTTGCGGTGAAGCGCCTGTCCAAAGGGTTCTATGCGCGGAAGCAGATGACAGACAAGGCCGCTTGGTCTTGGTTTGTCGTGCTGCAGTGGTTGGAGTCGATCGTTTTGTCTTGTAACATGGGCCCTGTCACATTGCGTCTACAGCACTAAGAAGATCTTGATAGATCTCGTTGTCTCAACAAGCTAGACCAGGCGGAAAAGACGTCCTATAGAAGGACGTCCACATGAGTCATACAATTTCACAGCTATAGTTGGTTTTTGTCCGAAGAAGTGGAGTTGCTTTTCGTTTTCGCTACGGTTCCGCCTGAAAGGGAACTCTTGCGGAACGGCCGGTGGATGAGTCAGTCGAGACCGGCCGTTTTGACCGGGAAATCGTTGGTTCGGATGTCCCAACTTTCATGTGTTTCATCCAAAAAGAGTTGCGAACCACGAAAGGAATAAAATGGAGAATGGTTTCATGGTTCTGTTATATAAACCCTGGGGTTCAAAAGTCTTTTTAAACAAAAGACGTTGTTACAACATCCTTTGATTTCCACTGCTTTCGGCAATGGATGGTTCACGCATGTTCACGCTTCTAGGTGTTTATCATGTTTATCATGTTCCCTGCACTTAGCACACTCTTTTTAAGCGGTGCGTGACGTCATCATCCGCTTCGAGGCACTTCTGTTCAGCCTTGGCAGGGATCAACGGCATTTCAAAAGTAGATTGTTCAATTCATGGCAAACCCACACTGCACCACTGGTTTATTCCGAGTAGCGATCTCATTTTCAGCTTTGTCGCCCAAAGCCTGTGCAACTTGCAGAAGCATCCTAATTCTATAGAACAAGATTCATTTCCAATTTTTGCAACATCAACTTCAACAGGTCTTGAGGGCCCACCGTAGCCGTGCGCATTGCATCATCCAACGATACCGGCGGTGAGGATGCCCTCGTAGATAAATTCCTTGACGTCTAATCGACAAAACAAGAAAGTCCCTGATTTAAATTTAACAGTTCGATTCAATTGGTTAAAGTGGCTGAGAAACCCTTGACCCAAAGCATCATGTCCTCATCGAGGAAGCAATGCGAATAACGAGGATTGTGTCCTGATTGTTAGGGATTTCTTGATGCAATATATATCGCGCGACTGCACCACTTGGAAAAGAACATGTTTTGCAGCAGGGGTCCGTGTTTCAAAGCGTACTGTAGGACATGCCATAGAGCCTTAGGAAAACACACGCGCGCTGCACTGCACATGTCGCATACATACACAGGCTCTTTGCTGACATGGCGCATGAAGCTTTGGATACACATACCACTCTTGTTTGGATGCCCTGGAGCAGAGAATTGTTTTATCAAGTGTAGTAGTGTCAGCGTATGGTACAGAACAACTATGATGTAATGTACAAGGCAAATGATACCCAGCACACCTGAGGCTCAGCTTAGCGAGTAAAACGTTCAAGCGCAAGTAGGACATACCTTCTTCATAGAATGCATTGGATTCATTGGTGGACCTCAACAATTTAACGGACAGGACACAGCACGACATGTTAGGAGAGTGCATGTTCACAGCTAAGTCAGTAGCAAGAAGCGGCCACACCTTTCCATGATACCGATCATCCTTGACATGCGGAGCCTTGGACGGCCAGATCATGCCAGATCCCAAGTTTCTCGGGAGCACAGGGGAAGCCTTGAGCAAGAGTGATGAATGAAGAGAGGTGAAGCATGTATAATGTTTTTTGTGGTTTATTCGCGGCTAAGCAACATGGCTAAAGCTTGGGCTGGAAGTCGGAAGTCTTGATTGACATAGTGTTGGCGCTGGGCAGCATCAGTCACACAGGCAGTAAGCCAGTGTTGAATGCACCGGGCATTGTATGCTTTTGTCGTCAAAAGGATATCGCCATTTTTCCGGTACAACTCAGCGTAGAAAGGGCATGCAAAGAAAGCAGCAATAGTGATTAACATCAAAACACAAGTCCAATAAAACGCAAGCAAAGCACCATCCTTGGGAGAAATTTTGGCTGGGTGGACGTGATGCGCTGTGCCCGACAAAACTCCTTGAAGTGTGCATATGCAGCAGCCAATTTGAAGTGTGCGCTGACTTCATCGGTTGTGAAATACCCAATGTTCAGCAAGCTGCTCCTGAATCAGTTGCGATCTATCGTACGTAACCAAAAAACATATCAAAAAAAGGAGACAACAATGCGGGCTGAGGCCAGGTCAAAGTTCCTCCATTGCAGGTAAACAAAATACCTAAATGTAGGACGTGCATGATGCACCACTTCACGATGCCCGGGTGCCAGTTGTACAACCCAATCAGAGGGCCTGAGGATATCAAGAAAAGGCACAGATGGCATAGAGACTATCAGGTACCATGCATGCAAGCGAGTGACAAATGTTGCGTTCAGGAAGGCATCGGGCTATGAATTCAGCAGGGTTGTAGTGCGAATGTTCCCAATCGGCCCCTTCAAAGTTATAGTACCGGGCGCTCCACTCATCAACCGATTTTGCACAACACTGATGACAAGTTTCTTTGCCATTCCAAGATTGCACCATTTGGAACAATTTCTTGTGCCAAGCCCAGTCTCCGCGGACTTCACTTACAGTGAAGGTTTGTCCTCCTGGGCAGATTCTTGTGCCAGCCAACTGTTGAAGATGGTCTGGGAGACCCTGGCCAAATGCCAAGGAGGTTGGATGATAGCCTTCATAGGCCGCGTTGCATGACCAGACTATGTGGCGTAGCACACGGTTGAGAGTCAAAACGCCAAACAACAGGTGCTCTGGTATAGTGAAGAGCAGCACTCTAGATGCACGGCCAGACGCTGGTCTCCACAACGGGAAGCTCATGAAAAGGGCAACCACGCTCTCAGACCCCACCTTCAACCGAACGGTCGCAGAGTCCCCATAAAGTCCAAGCGGTACACAAACATCTGTTGCACTGCTGTTAAGCGCCCACGGTTCGCTGTTCTCGCGACTTGTTTTCCAGAAATGCTTGACTTCGGCTTCCGGAATGTTGAAATCTGTGGAGTTGTACAGGTACGATATGATCGAGTGAGGGAACATAATAGGCCAAGATTCAACACGGTACCGTGGATCATTGCTTTTGGATCTCACAACTCTCACAGGTATGTCGATATATTCAATCCTGGCATCCTTAGATATATGCAAGGATAGTCAAAATATGAAACATTATATGAGACTTTGACAATTGCTTGTTCAACCAACATGCTTTCGGGTTTGATTCAGTGAGCCCTGTAAGTCAAAGGTTCTACTCCGGAGTCCAGAAGACGCCAAAAATCACGGGCACAATTCTCTTCCGAAAGGCTCCCTAACTTCTTGGTCAGAGGATGTAGATCACTGCCACGGCTATCCTTGACAGCAAGATTGCATATATTTATACATGTATTTGTTGATGCCCTGATTTTAAATTTGTCCAAGCAGTAGGGGGTGGAATGCCCAAACCTGGCCGAGGCACTTCGACATGGGCCCTGACATGCCTCATCGCTTTATAAACGGAGGAGCCCTGAGCTCAGATAGACGGTTCAGCGCTTTGGAACTTTGGGCACTCAACTTGGAAGTTTAATTTCTCACATGGGAATCCATGCATATGAGACAGCGTGTTTTGCAAACAGTGCAAAATCTGTCCGTGGTTTGGGTTGAAGATCTTGTAGGCAAACACGCCGATCCAAGTGACCCCACTGCTTACTTCCTCGATCGCGTTGCAAAGTACTTTGGAGGATCTGCGGGAGTGACCACCTTCCAGCCAGAAGGACAATAACACGTTCACTTGATCAGTTTATATAAACAGCAGTCATTGGATGCGATTGGATCTACAAGCTTTCCCAATCAACTTCCGCTTGAAATATCCCATTCATGTTTCTTCCACCAGCTCACAATCCGGGGCGTGTGTGGAGAGCACACACACTTCTAAGGCTTGTGCATCTCATACTTGCAAGATAAAGGCCATGTGGAGTTCACATGGTTCGGACCCCTAGATATCAGCAGTGTTTGTGGCTCGTGCTCAGTCGCCACCATCAATACAACTCATTGAACACTAGAAACCTCTAAGCTATGGTTCTTAAAGTGTTCTTGATTAGATAGGCATACTGTGCAGAACAACCTCGTATACATGCATGACATCATGCACTCTTGCCACAGTGGTCACTGCACCCCTACTTCAAGTTGCTTTGGGTGAGAAAACGGTCGTAGCTTTCAACTACAGACTTAGCAGCGGTCACCTCTTTGTCCAAGCCATCCTGCAAAAAGGAGTCATGACATGACAGTTGCAAAAGGTTTGGAAGAGGTCAACCGGTCCTCCATCGAATCATACTTCTTCTGAAGCTTGTCGCGGGCGATACTCAAGAGTTTCTTCTGCTTGATCAGTTCAGGCTGAATGGCATTGCGCACGCTTTCCGACCTCGGCAGGCCAGGTCGTGATCTCTAGAGACGATCGATTGTCGCTCATCTCCAAATTTCTAGCGACTTTTGTAATTACAAGATCGAAATAGGTAGCTACCAGAGTTCAGATGAAGTTATCGATTAAGTCAAAGGGCATTTTCGCCAATGAATGTTCCTTTCCGGTGGCACCTTGAATCTTGTGATTGATGGTGTTTAGTTCCTGTCACAGCGATTTAGTCGTGAAGACAAGTCTAAAAGGAATAAACACCAGTACTATATAAAACTCCTGCCTTCTTAGCCTTGCTCAACCGCTCTCGCTCTTCCTTCTTCTTTTTTTCTTGTTCTTTCTTCTCCTTCTCTTTAGCTTCCTTTTCCAACCTTTTCTTCTTCTGGGCTTCGGTTTCCTTCTTCTCCTTCCCGGCTTTGTCTTTCTTGTCTTTCTTTGCTTTCTTACTGCCCTTAGTCTTCTTGTTCTTGGAAGTCTTTCCCTTTTTCCTCCTCTTCTTGTCCTATCCCCCCAACACAAAATGCAACTCTCTATAACATATATAGATCAATATTATATACTGCCCAAAAGCGATTTGCAAGAGTCAGCGCTGTGTATGGTCCTTCCCTCCAGAAGAGCTGCTGCTGTCGCTGCTGGATGAATCACTGGACTCATCAGCACTGCTCGATTCATCGGAACTGCTGTCAGAAGATGACGACTGTTTCTTTTTGTTTTTATTTCCCTTCTTCCCTTTTCCCTTGCTGGAAACCTTTTTCTTGTCTCGTTTGCGTTTCTTGCTTGGCTCTGCTGATGAATCATCCCTATCGACGTCAGCGGCTTGAAACAATGAACTCAAGACCTCATCCTCTGTCTCCTCGACTGCCTCGCTGTCCCAGATGAGGAACAATCGCAATTCCTGGTCAGACTTGCTTGTCTAAGCTATTGTTGCTTGGAGGGGCAAACATATCAAGAAACACTGCTGCCTCGACGTCTGGGCAATCCCAATGCGGCTTGGTTTGTTCATTCTTTGTCTGTTCATCCTTCAATTTGCTGTCGCAAATCAAATCGGCAACAGCATTATCTCCGTACTTTGCACGGACTTGTTGTCTTGTCATCCAACGGCGCGAACCTTGGCGGCGGGTGCGATTCTCACTTTTGATAGACTCGTAAAAGCTTGATTTTGTCCATTCACCGGCGCAGCTTTCCCACTGCTCCTGGAGCACGGCCAGCTTCGCCGAACCTGAGGTAGTGATTTTATAATATTTAAAGACCCCTATTTCGATCGATATCCTTAAAAAATACAACACGCACACGCAGTGATACAGGTGTGACGCCATGAGACAGTACTTGGCACAGCGCGCTGCACGCCGTATCTGAATTGGACATTTTTTGCCTCAGCAGCGTCAGGCAAATTCTATATGACTCATGTATAATTTCATTGAATTGAGGCGTGGACTTTGCAGTGACCTCGAAAATCGCATGAACCTTGCATGAATAGCCTTCTGCTCTGGTGTGCGCTCTTTGTTTTTCCGCTCAGGCTCTGTGGTTTTCTCATCATGTTCGCCAGTGTTTGGGTCGCTTGCTGGTGTTGATGGATCTGCAGGTGTCATGTCGGTGGTGGTTGATCTACGGAGCTGTGCTGCAACGTCTTGGCTTGTTTGTGCATGTTCTGCTCTGGCAGGTGTGCTTGCATCCTGTTTCACATCTGGTGCGCATCCTGAGCTCTTCTCCCTAATCCTTTTTGCAGGTGCCTTTGACTCTTGCTTCACAGCAGTCTCAGGTGCAGATTGCTGCTCCTCCTGTGCTGGTCTCTTCTTCGATGCTTTCGATGGTGCTCCGGATGTATCTAGCTGCTCTTGCGGTTTGTTTTGCTTGGCTTGCTTGCTTTGCTTGTCCCGTTTGGTTTTCTTGCCTTGTTTGTGCTTGTCTTCCTCGTCTCGCCCTTCCTCTGCAGTCTCGTTTGCTGTGCCTGTTGGGCCATTTTGGTTGGTGCCCTTGCTTGCCTTGCTTTTGCATGCAGCCTGCTTAGCCTTAGCCTTTGCTGCTGTTGCCTTGGGCTTTGTAGTTGGCTCGCACGGGGCTGCTTCAGGCTCGGGTGTCGAGGGTTTTTCAGGTGCCAAATCGATTTTACCTGACCTCAATCGCTTGAACTTTCGTGCAGTCACCTTGGTCTTAGTACTGCCTTCGCTTGCGATGGTGTCTCTTCTGCGAATGCGATCTATTGGTGTATGTGGTGCAGGGCTAGCCATCTTTTTCTTGGCCATGGCCAGGGCATCTTCATCACTGGCAGGGATTGTTGTCGCTTGACTCTCAGCTTCTCCTGCTATAACACGGCTTTCAGGAAGTTCATTAGATTGGTTGCAAAAAACACTGGATCTCCTTCAGCTTCTTGTGTCTTTTTGTCCATTTTCTTGGCTGCCCTGTTCCAAATCCAGTTTTGCACAGCAAAATAAAAACTGTTTCCTAGCTGTATTACGCATTATTCACGATAATATATATACTATTTTGAACCCTTGCCTCAACCGTCTTTCCCTTGCTTGTTCAAGTGCCTCTTTCACCCTCTGGGAATGGGGTGCAACCATGGCGCAGCTAGCTGAAACCCGTTTCTCCACAAACCGACTCTCGAGCAAAGGCAAAATGAGCAAAGGATTCAAAATTGCAAAATGTTTAAAACAGCACGTTTTTAGCTATTTTTTACGAATAAGAGGTTCACGCATATCAAAAGACGTTCACGCATATCAAAAGACGTTCACGTCTTTTTCACGCTGTTTCACGGAAGTTTCACGGCCCGTTCACATAAGAAATTCCACTAAAGTGCAGTGAATTGTAGATTTCTACTTTCTGCACCTGTTTTGCTCAAAAGTGTCTAGAAACACCTTTATCAAGTGCAAATTAAGGCATCATGTGTGGTTTGGATATTAGTCATCCAGACCACCTTCAAAAGTAGGGACCCAGTTGCCTACCTTAGCCTCACGGCGCAAGAAGGCCTTGATAGAAGATAGCTGGGCGTGGCGCCAGCGGTAAGGACCACCCTAGCAGAATCAGATGATTATAGACGCAAACAACCCAAACCGGGGCTGCCTTGTGATCCATGATGACGTCAGGCTTGATGATGTCTCCATCCAACGAGCCCGGAGCCTCACGTGCGCTTTTCCAAGCAGTGGTCAGAGGGGTGTGGGTTGTGGGTCAAAAAACACCGCGTGAGCTGATCAATTGATGGTTACATCCATTGATCAATTTTGAAGCACGGTCATGAGGTCTTTTGCAAATGGGCAGCAGTGTCCTGTTGACTGCGAAGTACCATCTTGGCAAAGTGGTATGGATAGGCTGCAGACTTTCTCATCCACCGAGAGCCTGTCCTTGTTGTGCCCAACAACCCAAATAGATCTATTCTTCATACGCGCAATCCTCTCAAACAGAATCCACTCCAAAACTAAGACCCGGTCACTGAAAGCTTGTCGCCCTTGAGCTTCTTCGTTACCATTTGATATTTGGGATTGTTCTTGTTCCGTTTGAGACGTTTGCGATCCTTTGCCGACACCTTCTTCCGGAGCTTCATGATCCATGGCCTGGGCACACCAAGGAGGCGAAGACATAGCATAAAGCGGCCTTTTCCTGAAGCTGGGCGTCACGCGCGGTTCCCCAGCAGATGCTGGGCTTCAATGTTTTTGCTCCCCAAGCGCCCATCGAACTTGGCCAGAAGCAAGTACTATCTTTGGAGCATGGCATGACCACAAAAAGAAAGATCGAATTGAATTGAGCCCCAGGCAATCTTTGCACGAACCACTTGGTGGGTTGGATGAACTTCCAAACATGGAGCCAGTAAGGGAATAGTGGCATACAGGATCCGCCCGGTTGCTCACATACAAAGTGGCAGGCGCGACTCACGGCGATCAAGCACAATAGGATGAAGCGGGATGTGATCCTAGGATCTTGGTAACAGTGTTTGCTTATATGTTGCACATGCGCATACATACATTCAAAAAAGGCATCATATCAGTCAAAGTTCATGTTGGCTTCTTTTACATAAGCTTTCTTCCCGTCTCCCAGTGGGGCTCTGCTTGAACGGCGGCTCGTGGCTCTGTTCACCCAAGTAAAACTGCCACAGGGTGGACCACCAAACAGTACAGCTGAAGGCCGCAACCGCAGTACGGTCTCCAGGTACTTCAAGAAGCCTCCCCTTAGCACACTGTGAGTGCCCGGGGATGGTGGAAGGAATTTCTGGGACATGCGAGGCTTTGGTATTTGATTGGTAAGATGGTGTGACACGATGGTCGCGCTGAGGTGCCAGCACTGTGCCAATATCATGGTCTTGAAGTAGGTCCAGAGTTCCCCTAAGCAGACCCACGCAGCGCAGATAGCCAAAAAAGTCACGCCATGTAGTGATCGAAGCCCAAAAGATACACATCGAATCCATGCAGATCTATACTGTAACCTACATACATGCACCCTTTCAAAACCAAGTACCGGGCGCACGTAGCCCTGCGCTACCTGATCCCACCCAGATCCAAGAGCTCCCCAGAAGGAGAGAATTCACAAGAATCGTAAACATGGATACACGTGTGTCCCAAGGATGGGAGGCTGAGACCAAAGCGGTATACAGCACTGAGCTGAGCTTCACCAGCAAAGCAATCCACTAGATCCAGGTCCTCACGAGATACGGTTTAGTTGTCTAGCAATCACTCACGCAGTCAAGTCTAAGAAACTGGCACGGGAAGATCGCTCTGGCAAGGAGGTCTGGTTCAGGTAGTCCACACAGTGGAATCTGGGCTAGCTAGTACATTGTTCCGAATCCGGTTGGTACCCATCATGGTTTTGATTTACTTGATCGAGGTCAAGTCGCATTACCAGAGGAACCCCGAAGATCTGAAGGATGTTCTTGCTTGCCGCACCCAAGGCCAACCCAGATCGCCGCCCGGACTCTGTACGCCGGACCATTGTTGGAGGCCCCAGCTGGCAAGCTAAGCGGAGTGGGGCGGTCCCAAAAAGTAGCTGCAAAGTTGCAATGACCTGATCCGACATATTTATCGCTATTATATTTATTATATATTTTTGTGTTATATACTTCAAATGCCAAAATTGCAATTGCCAGTGAAAGTGCATCATAAAGAACGATCATTTTCACTCTGCCACGTGCAACACTCTGCCACGTGCAAGACGATGATCTAATGCTCTACAGATCGCGCATGGTGCAGGCAAGCTCTATGCCCCTAAACCCACCTGCACCCCACACTTCTGAAACCCCAAATGTCCAGCACTGCCAAGGCTGTTTGCTCCAAAGCAGCGCATGGGAACCTAGAGGTGGCTCACAGATTCTGAGCCTCTGGATCAACCCAGCCTGCCACATGCTTGGCCAGCTGGAACCTGGGCAAACGGCACATTGATCAAGAGTTGAGGCCATAGCTAGCGATATATATATATATATATGCTAGCTGATACCTGGTGATTAAATACTGAGCCATCGTTCCGGGATATTGTCTGGGACCCCAAACGCTTGATGAGCTCCGCCATACTTGTTCCATGCCAGACTCACTCCAGGATTCTTAGCACCATTGACCTCCAAAGTACGTGCATGCAGCACATGGCCTACCATGTACGTACATTACCATGCATACATTCTATAGGAACCTTGAGGTCATGATGCCAAACACGGTTGACAGCATCGACACGTTCGGCTGGCACTGGCGCCACATAGAATGCACCCTGCGTAGTCCGGGACTGAGCAAGCCTAGGGGATAACGTGCGTATCGATCGATCGGTATCAAAATACCTATTTTATAAATAATTGAAATGAGCCCCCGGCAGAACCCCGATGTTGGACAGAACCCCATGCTTGGGAAAGTGGCATTCAGGATCAGGATGGAGTGTGAACGACCTAGAAATCCACAAAAAGGACACCCATGCATGCAGAGCGAAACTCCCCGAGGCCATCGCGACCGCTCACCCAAGTCCTTTGGGAGCACAAGGCCAGGGTCGTTTTTGGCCACCGCCTTGAGGATCTCAAAGTTGGACTCCTATCAGAATTGGTTTGGCATGTTTTGTTAAGCATGCATGGGCAAATATCGATCCTTGGCAGACTTCTTCCCTGGATCTTCTTTCTTCTTTGAGTTCACATTGGCCGCAGGCTCAAATACCCCAGGTCCACTTGAAACCGTTTCGACCTTTGAATGCTTTTTGGTCTTACGTCGACACTTGGGCTTCTCAGCGGAAACATTGGCTCGGAGAGACTTTTCCCCAATCCCTGGGACAGGGCCTTCCCCAGGCTCAGCATGCATGTCTTTTGGGCTTTCAGCAAGCTTCCATGTAGATTTACCCTTTTTGAGACCGCTCGACTTTG